TTTCAAAAGTCTTTTAATTAATGGAAAATCAACGTGCCACAACCAATCAAACGACACCTTAAACATGGTGATCGATTGCTTGACAGCTTCAAATCAACTATCACAAAAGTCATGTTTGCATATTAAATACATAATAAATACTATGGATTCCAAATAATATATTTCGATAAAACTGTGTTGAAATAAATAAAACTATTTATCTAATTTTGGGTAAAATTTTCAGCTCAGGTTTAGTAGGTTATCAGCCGGAACAATTAAACAGTAACTCAATTATTTAGCCAGGTTGACAATATATATGCATCAGCCAAGTCAACTTAGTCAACTTACTAAGACTTACTATTAACTAACATGTGATACAAACGCGCAAACATATAGAAACCATTCCTCTCTACGATTCAATAAATTAATTACTATTCGGTTGCTTGTAGAAAATGTGTTGACAATCAAATACAGAACCGTGAGCCTCAAACATAGTTTATTTCATCACAACCATCGTAGAGTCGTCAGACCATAACTAATCCTTGGGAACTTATCGCAATCCAAGTAATAGTCCAGGAGCTGAGGGGGGTTGAGCATGCATGAAAGTAGTACGCAATGTTATTGCTGATTATTGTAATATGGACTGTGGTGATCAAAATTACGTATGTCGCCTATTTCAAAAGTGGTCGATAAGGTGGGGGGGAGGGGGCAAACATGGCGGTTTGCGCTATGCGTTAAAACGCTGATAGTTCGAAAACGGTAAAAGATAGAACATCGGTTAAAACGTCGTTGTAATCCTAAAAATGTGGACAACAATAATGGTCATTGGGTCCGAGGTCGTATCTCTAAAAATAAACAAGTTATTGTATAAAATATGTAAAAATGGACTTTTCGTGTAGTTTTTTTTACCGAAAGTAGAATTAATTTGTGAGTATCGCAAAGAAGTAATATCAAATATCTTTGCTGATAGTTGTAATATGGACTGTGGTGATACGAAATACGCATGTCGCCTACTTTTCAGGTGGTCGAGAACTTGGGGGGAGGGGGGCAAAGATGGCGGAACGCGCTATACATCGAAATGACTGTAGCTCGAGAACGGTACGAGATAGAACATCGGTTAAAACGTAGTTTTAATCCAAAGAATATTACCAATAGAAAAGGTCATTGGGTAAAAAGTCGTATATTAACTAATAAAAAAGTTATAACAATAATAAGTTTAACAAAATCTACATCGTACAGCTATTTTTTACATTTTTTTATTTTTTTCGTGTTTTACATTTTAAACCAAATGTATTCGTAATAATATATTTTTTTCTTATAAGAAAATGCATCTAGTTAATATTTAGCCGAGTAATTAAGTAATTACACTATTATTTATCAAAAATCCATACGATTTTCGAAAAAAATAGCTGTACGATGTAGATTTTGTTAAACTTATTATTGTTATAACTTTTTTATTAGTTAAGATACGACTTTTTACCCGATAACCTTTTCTATTGGTAATATTTTTTGGATTAAAACTACGTTTTAACCGATGTCCTATCTCGTACCGTTCTCGAGCTACAGTCATTTCGATGTATAGCGCGTTCCGCCATCTTTGCCCCCCTCCCCCCAAGTTCTCGACCACCTGAAAAGTAGGCGACATGCGTATTTTGTATCACCACAGTCCATATTACAACTATCAGCAAAGATATTTGATATTACTTCTTTGCGACACTCACAAATTAATTCTACTTTCGGTAAAAAATCTACACGAAAAGTCCATTTTTACATATTTTATACAATAACTTGTTTATTTATAGAGATACGACCTCGGACCCAATGACCATTATTGTTGGCCACATTTTTAGGATTACAACGACGTTTTAACCGATGTTCTATCTTTTACCGTTTTCGAACTATCAGCGTTTTAACGCATAGCGCAAACCGCCATGTTTGCCCCCTCCCCCCCACCTTATCGACCACTTTTGAAATAGGCGACATACGTAATTTTGATCACCATAGTCCATATTACAATAATCAGCAATAACATTGCGTACTACTTTCATGCATGCTCAACCCCCCTCAGCTCCTGGACTATAAGGCTTACAACAGTTTTCCATCGCTTCTTTGACACCTCCGAATACATAGCTGAATAATTTGATCTGTAATATCTTAGTGTTTGGAAAGTTATTTTAAGTATCTAATTTAGTGACGTTATTGGTTATCAATCCAAGCAAATATTTCTTCTTTACACGTAAAATAAAAATTATTTCAACAAGATTTATTGTAAGTTAATCTAAAAATTAAATTAATAAAATAAATGGGATTAACTGGAAATCTGCTTGAGAAGGACTAACACCGGTCACAGTTAAGAACAAACTGCACAGTTTATTAATTAGTAATCCTTAAGAATTATTGCACGTCTTAACAATTAAGTCATTTTTAATGCGTCGTAAAAATCAAGGTCTTTTAAACGCATTTCAACTACTAATTATCAAGAGCCAAGCAAACGTGCTCGTTGAAGCAAACACATTAAATCATTCAAAACATTTCATTGGTGTTTTGTTTATTGGGTATGCTTGTTGGTTTCTTGTATTGGGCTTTTTTTAGTCCGAACAGCATATTTACATGATACAATTTTCAATACTATCTATCAATATGTTAGTTAACTTATAAATTGTATTTACCTAAACTTAAATTCTATTTTTACATATTTCCAAGTGGGTATACGACATGACAGTTATTGAAACAACATGTAAACATCACATAGTCTTGTAAAATCATAAAAAGATCAAATTTTTGTTTTATAATATTATAATTACGTTTGGTTAACACCTACGTCATCGACACTAGTGTAAAACAATCTTACTCTAGCGAAACCGAAACCTCATCACTAGACATGGACCATTTGGTTGGAATTAAATTTCATCACGAAAAGACATTTTTCCTTATGAGGTACCCCCTCACCATTGCCGTCCACCGGTGTGGTCTACAGGTACCCGCTCTGCCCCATTTAGATAATTATGACATGTCTTAAGTGATGAATGTGCAAGTCGTTTCTCTAATAATGGTTATTAATGGGAGTGCAAAACTTATACCCTTCTAGACGTAAGGGTGGTAAGTGGATGCAATTAGAAGAATTAGAAATGTGTTTACCTAGAACAACATGTAGAATCGAGTCGGTTTCTTGAAAAGCAACTGAATTTCATCAAAGGTGAAATGAAAATTGTTTCTTGAGATAATTTTCAAGAGCTCATAAAGCTTCCGTAAAAACAGTTGAGGTAATATCTTTCGTGATTTACTGTATATTTCATCTAAATTTTGGATTGATAAAGTGAAACTTTTGTTTGAACATAACAATACAGTAATGTGGATTTGCGTGAATAAAATAAGCCAACCACAGATGCCACCGGAATTTATTAAGGGTCCCATAAATGTGTTTTTTTTTCAGAATTCAACCTATGATAAGTTTTAATTGTTTTATTGCAGTAAAATTAGGCGGAAAGGACACAGTTATGATGATTAGTATTGAACGTAAGTATAAGTTCAGGTTTGGTCAAGGTGTACGTATGTAAGAAAAGAGCATAAAATTTAAAATAATCACAGGATCTAGGGAAAGTAATATATCTTTCAAGAATAATACATGCAACTACTCGTAAAAACCCCAACAAGCCTTTGCACGTTTTAAAAAACCTTCGTTTAAAACTAGCTTTTTATTTAGGTAATCATAATGAAAGCAAATCCAAAGGTGGACGGCATTTAAGTGTACTGTATGTTGCATACAGCACGCTTAGGGTGAGATTTTAGGTATCTATAATCCTATAATTCAATATTAACTACTACAATGAAAGTAAAATGTAGCCTGTTCCATTGTTATGGACTCGTCATTCAAGTTACTAGTCCATAGGTTATTCATATAATAAATTGGCTTTTTATCTGCAAAGAAAAGCACTTTTGGATTATAACGATAGTTCCGTAATAGGTTGTTAAGTAATTGTGATGCTTTTCCATACAAATGAATGACTACTAAAGAAGGTAAAAGAAGGTCGAGAATACAGAAGAAAATGTAAAAAGTGTATGGCATAATTCAATTTTCGTTAATATTCACAAATTTCTACAGACGGAACTGATGTTCTCCAGTTAGATGAAATCAACGTGATATTCAGCATTGCCTCGATATCCAAAACGGGTTGGAAATCATGGCTTCCCTACAATTTCTGAAGATAATAGAAAGGTTGGGATTGAGAATAAATTACTTTGACCCATGTGTCATTGTTTCCAGTGTCTGAAGATTTCTTTTAGTTTTCTTGAGAATAGGTTCCCCCATTGCGGAAATGTTTAGTAGTGGGGTAATAGGATTAATATTTTGTAACTTGTTATTTTTAATTATTTACCTAAGCAAAATGTACAAAACAATCGTAATGAATTATAATGCTATACTTTTTAAGGAGGCTTATCCTAATACTATATCAAAGTCAATACAGTTATCGTAGTACCGAGAATAATACATTTCTTTAAATCATGAACATTTTGAAAACACAGAGTTTTAAGTACTGTGGAACAGAAACGTTTGGTACTACTGTAATGCAATTTGCACTTAATTCCTATTTCTAAAGCTTAGGCCTATAAACTATATATTGTTTGATTTACAAAATCAGAAAAATGTAAAAATATTTCTAGAGGTGGTACGTTCTTACTCTCTACCACTTACTATTGACAGACTTAAGAAAACAACGTTAAGGGGCAAAGTGATTGTAGTATGTATAATGGAACCTGTCTCGTGACCCTCCATCTGGACCTTGAACCCATGTAGACCTGGCAGGTGACAAGTGCCATCAGACAGACATTAGTAGCCATAGGACCACAAATCAAGCAGTTAAAACCGCAACATATTTTATAGCAATTATATCTAGTTTATCTCGTTTTTGTTTTTTCGGTTTTGAACTCTTTCTGTAAATGAGTAAAATAATCAATTTATTCTACATTTTATACTTTTACGGATCTATAATATTACGTTATTAGATTAAAATGTTACTCACTTGGTTTTTGAAAGAAGTGTAGATCTCAATACATGGGTCAGCGTCTGTGAAAAACAACAGAAACTGTTATTAAAGATTTATAAGTTCCAGAACAATTTTTCGCTGTTAAATATTAACAATGACGATTTCGTGTTACGGTTCTATCTCACGCAATAGACGTATTAAAAAGCTATCATATTCGGTATGAATATTGAACAGTACTTTACAAAACCAAACTAACTTTAGACATTTGTTTAAAATATGATTAACACAATGGTTTCTGACAATAATTCAATTCAATTACTTTTCTAAACTGTCATGTAATTAAATATATGAGTGCGCTGAGCTGCAGATACAGTATTCAAAACATTTTCTTCATATCGACTTATAACGATAAACTTAACTTTGTGATAAATTAAACAAAAACGAGCTGTTATACCCGTGCTTTGCAACGGGAAGAAAATGTGACCTAGGCAGCCATTACAGTGTTATATATAGTGGTGCTGATGTTACTGTTAAAATACTGCAACTCTAAGATTTAGTTTGAAAGAAAAAAAAGTTTTTAAAAGTGTAAACCTGCTTACTTTCAAACCGTACTTTTCATGTCAATAGATCCAAATCTTAGACACACCTAGTGTAGCAATAACTTCAATTACGGTACTTGATATTCATGCTTCATGAATGAGACGTTTTACCATAATTCTTCAATTTTAGTCAAGCCTCTTTACATGCAGCTTAGTGTATATATTACAAATGAAACTGTGATCAATACTCTACAAAACATATACTACCTTTCTTTTAACCAAACATAACCCTCTTACTACCAAATAAAGCATCACAAACATCTTTTTTCGAGTAAACAATCGCCAGTTAATTGTATTGACCAGCTGTTTTATAATTTAAACCATGGTGAAAGGATAAATATAGGTGTCATACTCCCGTCATAGGATGACGTCACCCAGATTGCAAACAGAAAATCACCTGATTGTAAATGTCACATATAAAGTATATATTTGTTTTGATTTTGGATTGTTATGGTTTTATATTTTTTTCTAAATATTAAAATGGCTTTTGCAATCTGGGTGACGTCAGCACATGACTAAAATGTTTTTCCTTACACCAATCACCATGCATTTAAACTTTTGAAGCATATCACTTTGGAAATCGGCCTGTAGGACAGAGCCCTAAAGAATTTGTCCATACCGATAATCCGTCGGCAAATCTACACCATCTAAGCTTCTTTTTGATTTACCATATGTCTTTATTTTACTTGGTAAATTATCTTAACCGTTTACTTAAATATCACTTTGTATTACATTGTATCACTTTAATAATATAATAGATATCCACGAATATTTTATTATTGCTCTCACTGCAAGAGGGACTGAAGACATTGTGACTGCAGAAGACGGCCGACTCAAACAACATACGAAAGATTTCACCTGCAACCGCATACTTATCCCGGCCTTCGCGTTTGCGGTTTGTGGTTGTCAACAATCAACGTCAACAATAGTCATCAGCTGTTGACGTGACGTCATCATCTTATGACGAACACGTCTTAAAGTGTATGAAGAAATACTTACAAACAAACCAAAGACACTATACACTATGCTGTTAGGGCTGGTATTTTTAATGTTGACAACATTATCTTAAATCTGAATCCGAATCGGCGTGCACTCTGGACGTACCGTTATACAGATTATTATTCCGTGCAGCGCTTCAACTTTACCCATTCATTAAAATCTATTATTCGACCAACAACAAAACAAACGACTGACACTAATTAACACCATCTTAAATTAACATCTCATTTTTCACATTCACACTAGAAGTAAAATAGCTTAATTACTATAGTGTGAACATTCTTATCACTGTCTAACACGAAAACATCATTTCATTGACCATAAAACTTAATAATTTCCGTGATATATCTCGGAATGAAGTCCAGAGTACGCTGTTAATAAAACCAAGGCCACTACAGCAGTTGCTGTTACGAATTTTCTGCAATGAGATTACTAAAACCTTGAAACCCTTGATGGTAATGGTTATATGGGAAATGTCAGGATATCACTTGGACATTTAGATGTATTTTTAGTCTGGGAATGGACTTAATAAGCGGGTATAAATATTTATGTGAAGTTGGTAACATGTGTTTAGCTAGATTGGTCGGATTAATGAGTAGTGGAATTTAATGGAGTTTCTTGGTCAATCAAGTTTATTAGCACTTGCGAATTATTTAGTATCTTCTTTGACAAAACTCCATGTAAACTCTGGTTAGCTATAGTAAAATACGGATTGTTGAAGAGAATTTATGTTGGATTCAGTATTCTTACGGGAAAAGTATTTCCAACTTTTAGTCTCAAATGCAAGTTTCAATTATTAGAATTGTTGCAATCGTCGTGCGTCTCATATTTAAACAATTATTCCATCAAGTGGTTTAATACATTCTTACCCAAAAACCAAAACCGTTTTAGAATATTTCCCACATCATGTGTTGTTAGTTTCATGTTGCTCAACTGGTTGCGATGTTATTGTTATTCTTTGCTTCAATAACAGATCAAACGTTGGTAAAGTTATTTATTCCAGTAAATTAAAATCAAATTAGCCCAGCTTCCAAGGAATTGAACCAAAAAGTGTTATAACTAGTTATGTAAAACTCGCTACAACCGTGGAAGAAACCCATCGAAAACACAAGGCCAAACACACAAAAACTGGTACCTGTTGAACAAATGACCTTGCTGAAACCTTATTCTACCAGCTGCACTGATGTACACAATGGATTTTCGGGAATGCTTTTAGTGGTTTCTTCCACGTCATTGGTCAATGCCTGTGTTGAATATATCATTCCGCCTTTAAACTTACGTATGGAATTATACAAAGTTTGCTCATCAGCTGTTTATTTGTCAATATGCCTTTTCACAACGTTCATAACAGCCTTGGTGAATACTTCTTCAAGAAGAAGATGAATTGTGCAAGCGACGAATGACTGGCGAGAAGTCTTTGTCACTGAATAAGTGAAGTCCAGGACTGACTGAGTTGATTTTCAAAAGAACTAGTAGGGATGAAATCCATCAAAAAATATTTCAAAACTTTCTAAGGACCGACACCAGCAATAAAAGCATCTAAAGGACCTATGAGGGCTTTAACGTTGAGAAATACAGGGGCGTACATCGTCAAAAAATACTGTTTACATCAACAGCCGTCTTTAATCAAGTTTTTAACAATTATTCTTGTGGGGAGTATCCATTTAACACTCGTTCATCGGTTATTTTCGTTTTACAACTAATGTGTCGTTTTCGCAACTTAATGTGCTGTATGCATACAAATCTAATCTTATCTAATAGAATGAAAATGAGAATTTCTCATGTTTAAAAGACAAAATACTGTGCACTTTTTACAATACTAGATTTTATTTCATAATTACGATCAATATAACATCAAACTTCTCAAAGAGTCACAATTCCTAAATACGAGCAGGAAACAAAAATAACAAATGAGTTTGCAAAACACACAAAGAAGAATCAAAACTAAACCAATCCTTTGTTAGAGCATGAAGTTTTCCGACTCAATTATCATTTATGCCAAATCCTTGGAAAACAAAAAAGACAAAAGCAAACAGAGGAAGCAGAGAATGTTACCATTAACAGACAAGTTGGCCAACAATGACTAGTGATTCACTGGGGTGGTTAGCAAGGTTACGTAGCGAAACTCTCCATCGTCATCAGTGTTGGTCGAGTCATTGTTATTGTGCATTGTTGTTGTTCCTGGTCTCTGTTCAGTTTCACTTCTCCATCTGTCGGTTAAACGATCTTGACGTGTTACATTTACAATGTTCTTGCATTATTGTTGCATTGTTCACAATGTTTTTGAATTGTTGTTCTTATGATAAAAACCATGAATAACACAAATACAAGTTTGGATTATGTTCACTCACTGTGATACCTCTGTTTTCAGCAGTAACATAATTTGACTCTTGATAAATATTACGCTTTCTAAAAGATAATTTAGATATTTAAATTTTTTTTGTTAAACTCAATTACTGAACAGCACTACAACAGCCTAGAAGAAGTTTATAAGCTTAGAAGCTTGTCTTATGAGCTAGCGATATACCGTCATAGAAAAATGAATGGATTTTATATTAGATTCAAGTAGTTCAGCCATTGTAGAAAAAAGTGTTTTTCAACTCTCTGATAGATTACCATTGCTTAGAAAAACAAGTCAGTACAATTATAGTGGGCATGGTTCAGACCAAAGACTTGCATCGGTGACAGATGTCACGTTAAAAGCCTGGGCGTAATTTAGGCGTTCAATTTCATCACCGAACAAGACATTTTTACAAACGATTGGATCACACATTTAAACGCGTTTTAAACTTAGTATGAACCTAACATAACGTCTATTGAAAGAGGTTCTTGCAGTCGATTAAACTTTTACGCCGTATATTGATACCAGCTACACTCCTTATAAAGTGCATGTGGCCATTCCGCTTAGATATTTAATAGTCTGGTTGTACATTCAATCTTAATATGCTGATGAACCTTCGGCTATTAAACGTTACAAGGTAACCATCGTCATCTGCTGTTTATTCCACCTGTCGGCATAAATGAATAACCTACAAAGAATAATTGAATAAGGCATTGCATACCTACAAGTCAAGAAATTTCATTTTTCGATCTTCTATGCCTCAAACTCTCACAATACCATCAACAGAACATTATTCTTTGTGAGGTACACCCACAACCAAGTTCCATCAATCTCCAAAGTAACCTTAAGAGTCAGTGAAAGTCTTTCCCAGGCGTCTGATGATGCTGATGAAGATTTCTGCATGACGACAGCTAAAACGACGCCATTTCCGGATGATGGCTGTGAACATAAAGCTAACGGCGTTGTGAAACAAGTGAATCTGATGACTTGAAGTTTCTCCGTCACCACTCGACATTACGTATTCACCAATCATCGTCAATCTCTATACGCCACCGTACAAGACTGAGTACTTTCTCTATGAAGGGAATCTGATTTGATATTATATCGTCCATGACGCTCATCATAGCTCGTTATTTTGAAGTGCACAATCTACATTCATTGCAAACATCGCGTCACTACTGCCTGCAGCTGGAAGTGCCTTTCCATTCCTCGTCAGCATTTTCCTTAGTGTTTGGCTGTTTCGTCATCAAAGGCTATACTGTGTGGAACTACTTTAGACCATATTACAAAACAAGTAATTGTTGGGGGTGCTAGCCGAGTGGTTAGTGTCTCGGACTTTGTTGCAGGGACGGGTTCAATTCCCGGCACATCCACAAAACTTTAGTAGCCTATAATAAATTTGGACCGCTTTCCCTTAAAATTGTAAAGAATGGCCACTGGCGTACAACAAACCTTGCTTCATAAATGCAAAACTGTGGTACGTTTAACTGTAGATGTAGTACGGTGTTGTTAACATTTTCACTTTCATACTAAATTTTGTGAGAGGTTTATAAATATTTCGTGGTTAAACGGAGCCTTTGACAGAGTTGGTATGCTATGTTTTCTGTTTTACTCGGTAAATTTGTCAGATTACCACGTGTCCAAGAGGGGAAATAAATGTTTTTAGCTAACAATGAAACTCTTGTGTTGTGTTCAGTTACTGTATGTGTTTTACAATATAACAACTGACTACATCCATTTTATACAGTTGTATGTGTATACTTGAGTATCTAAAGCCAGTGAAACTGCAGAAGACCTTGTATCTATAAATTTGTTAACCGCCTTGAATGTTCTTTTTTTGCCTTTTATACCAATGCCGTTGATGTACATCCCGAAACAATACATACCTAGTTTTATGTTGAAATGTAGAATAGTCCTACTACTAATATTAAAGCGGTGCATTTCTTTAGTTTCAGAAGTTGTTGTTCATTAAACACAAGCGCATAGTAGTAATTGACGAACAATAATCATGATAAACATAATCCGAAAAGTAATTATAGGTTAGACACTTCAATATAAATCGTTTCAACCTTTGAAACAGGTTGTTGCAAAATTGTATGGCTCGTTAGCTACCGCACGAAACTTTCACGGTAATTGAAAATCGAGAACTGAATAGATGTTAAGTAGAAATCAATCGTACATTGGACGAGTCTTGTTATTGCTAGAATTCATTCTGTTCTGCTCTTCTATCTTCGGTAGGCTGGGGAATGAACTGGTCTACTCTTGACTCTTGATTCTGGACTCTAAGAGCGCGGCCCTGAGGTCTCGGGTTCAAACCCCGCCTATCACCAATGGATAGAATCCAAGTGATTTTGTCGCAACCTCTAGGTCTAGCCTGAAGTAGGGCTAATGTGAAAACAATCCCGGGCTCGTGCCTAGCGCCTTAAGACAAAATAAGTAGGCTAAGTATTAAAGTATGCATTTACTCTGACAAGCAGTACTGGTGCTTGCTTTTTACAATTTTTATGCTGTATTGGTGCATGTTTCACTGGTAGCATTTATTGTGCTTGATATTTACATTTGACATTGATTTCTAACGTGTTAATCGCTTTGCACCACAAAGTTGTTCTTCTCTAGTCTTTCAATTCTCCGGACGTGAATGAAATGGTAAACTTTCACTTTTTGTTCAATGCCCAGATAGAGTCATAAATGTACATTATTCAACAGTAAACTACTTTCTAGCGAACACTAGGCAAGGTTTGAGCTACTAGACTGAAACGTTAAAGTAGGAACGTATATCGAGAATACTCTAATATGGATAGTTTACTTTTAACCATGTAGGCTACCTATTGTTTTAATGGTTAATATTATGAAATAATCTATAGGCCTATAGGCTAACAATTTTTTTGTTATCAAAATTTATAAAATACCTCATGAAAGGAATGAATATGTTGATCGATGTTTTAGGCAATCCATAGTAGACAAATCCGTTGAAAACCAAATTCTTATTTCACTACACAACTTATTTTAAAATTTAACATTGGTCTTATTGGCTACTAAGTTATCATGTTGTTTGAACAAATTAACAAGGAAATGGTAAACAGAAGACTTGTAACATGTGTTTATAACGAGCCATCCACATAATACTAGCAAATTGCAAAATACAGTACAAAGGGAAAAACATCAGTTGTTACTATTGAGCAAAGATTACTCGATACAGGTGTACAATGAAAATAAACTACCAAGCCATGGCTCGGTCCCCAGGTACTATAAAACGGACTGGCCTAACTTCATTTGGTATTTAACCGTGATTACGTTTGCCATAAAATAAATGTTTTAGCCTAGCTAGAAGTTGAATTTTATAGAATAAATTTCAATTCGCTTCCATTCTAGGTCCTGGGCTGTTCACCAATAACAAAACTAGGTTTGACATACTTTATTTATACAATATTAAGCTCGCATTAGCACCATAACATGTTCATGTCTCGGCATGTATTCGCCATTGTTATGGAAACATGGTCCTGATTTGAGAAGTTTTTATGTGGTATTTACACTGACATTTTTAAGGTTTCTGTAAGGGACGCTCGTATATGTAGTCTAAATGAGGCAACTAACACTTGATTTTCTCACAAACACCATTATACACTTATGTACCAGGAAGAACACAATCATGAGTAACATGATTTTATCTTTAGAAATGCAACACTAATACTGAGTAAGTTAGAGGGAAGAAGAAGGAGGAAGATTGGGGAAGAGGGAGGAAGATGGAGGAAAAGGGAGGAAGAGGGAGGAATAGGGAGGAAGAGGGAGGAATATGGAGGAAGAGGGAGGAAGGGAGAGGAAGAGAGAAAGAGGTGGGAAGAGGGAGAGGGAGGAAAAGGGAAGAGGAAGGAAGAGGGATCAAGATGGAGGAAGAATGTGGAAGAAGGAGGAAGATGGAGGAAGAGGCAAAAGTCAAACATGAAAGGGAGTCTGCAATCAAGATGAAACCAACAAGTCACGAATAGTAGAAACTAATTAATAAAAATCCTCAACCACATAATTATTCCAACTGATTGGCGAAGCGCGAACATAACTGGATGTGGATTGGCGCAATCTCGCCAGACCTACTTGAAACGACTCGTTATAACTAGGAAAGACGCGTTTGACTTTACCATGTACCTTTGTGAGTGGAGGCTGCTTTAGCGTAAATTTAGAATTAGAATCCATATGTAATATGTTCTGATTGAACCTTTTTCTTGAAAATATCTATCAATTAGATAATTTGGGACACACAGACCCTCTCCATCCTTGGACAGGGTTGGAACATTCGCATTTGCTGATTATAGAGTGCGGAGTTTTACTATTTAGCAAATTTCAGTACTTGTTGGTGACGATAGGGTTTTGTTGTTTTGCATGTGGGGTATGTTGTACAGTGGATGTGGTCAGCGTGTCTTCACGTTGTTGTTTATGTGGTTATTGTGGTTGGTGTGAGGTTTCCACAAACAGTAGTACATGCAGACCTGTAGCTGTAAATCGACCATATAGATCAGATACTTTACTACGTTCCATTGTATGGTTCTCTATAACAATGAAATTTATTATTTGCTTCATATACGTGTGTTTTTTATAAACCATATAGAGACGATCATCGTATTTTCTATATTTTATCTTGTAGACTCAGAAAAATTATAATTGGAAAGATGTCCTCTTCTTCTAGACCCTAGAGTACTTATACATTGTAATATGATGGTGTAATCTTCACGCTAATAACAAACTTCTACCTTTTGATCTCGAAATCACCAAGTTTTTGTTTTTATTTTGTTATTAGATTATATTTTATACTACCTGACACGTTAGGGGGTGTGGTGGAAAATGAGTGAAGGATGAGTTTTGAATTGATAAGATGGTGGTTTTGGTTTCTGTCGAGATCATTATGTTCTTTAGTTATTGTTTATTAGAACTCCGATGAATGATCAAGGAACGACGACTTTACGCCGGATCGACCCGGCGGTCTTCTGGTAGGAGGAGTAATGAAAACCCTTGTCGTTTACAACAATAAGCATTGATTAGCCGGACTAGTTTGATGGAAAAATGCGTCTATAATCATGGAAATTGCGTATGAATAATCGGTTAAAAATACATAGATACTGTTCCAGCGCATCTCGAAATCCAACCTTAGCTGCGGCAGGTTACTACAGTATTATCGTCCGATCTAAATACGGTAATCGAGTGAATCAAAGGATATGATTATGTATGTGCAATAACAATGCCTCAATGGTTACTGGTTATTGGTTATTGAACATTACAACAATTGTGGATTTGATTATTATGGTACGTAATCAATCTCACTCGCTACATAAATTACAATAACATACGCCGTTTCAAAGCAAACATATTTTCCGCATCTGGGCCATAACTCTTAACTAACTACCATAAAATTCAATCTACATCCTTCCAATAGCATAGTGTAGACATAAAAAATTCAAGACTTATCACCAACCTTTTACATTACTTTCCACAGAATATATGATGAATTATAAGTTTGATTTCTGATTCCGGAGCTTAAAGCATCCGATAAGAAAAATAAATAAATGTGCCTAACTAGAATGCATAATGTATGAAAAATACTAACCTACTTTATAACCTACAGTTTCACATTGTTAATTTTGTTTATTATACTTACTAGAAAATTATCAAATACAACAGCTAAGCCTTTCGAAAATCTACCAAAGGAAGTACAGTACTGTAAACTTTAATGATAATTGTTTAACAATAGAAACAAAAATATAAATCAAGAAATTACGTACGGGAATTTAGTAATCAACTAAAACTGAAGTTATACTGTATCAATATTTCCATTTATAACCCAAGCAAAGTTAAACATTTACTGTTAAAAAAGCTGCCAAGATGAATTAAAACATGTAAACATTGTTATTTTCCTATTCTTTCCTCAAAAAGTCGAACAGAAAGAAAAATAATTTGCATAATCTTTCTTTTGAAGATTCCTGAGCTTCGATTCGTATACAGCAATAGTTATACAATCATTCTTATTTCCAATGGAAAAATCACAGAATAATAAACTAACCTGATAGTTCTAAAGAATGTTTTATATTCAACCAGCCACTGGTTATAACAAATTATATTGCACTAAAACAAACGTAAAATATTCTTAAAGACTGCTCAAAAAATAAATTAAATAGAACATTTTACCAATACCATACATCTTATCAATACATCTTAGCCAATAAATGAACGTTTAAATGAGTATAGCATTACATATAGTATAAATAAGTCAACCCTATGCATGTCATTATTATCCAAATGCTGAATTTGTGTCACACACGCCAATGTTTACAGCTGTTACGTTGAGCAAATGGCTTTATACAAAAAGCTAGTGTAGAATGTTAGCGTCGGCTGCTAGACTTTTTAAAATTTTAAACTTATTTTATAAAAAACTGAAACCCTAAACTAAAATTATGGTTTCGACATTCCCTAGTTCTCAAAATATCTTTCTTTCAACACAAAAATCATGAAAATCCGTCAAGTGGTTGATTCAGAATCGTGAAATAAAAATACCCCTGTCACGTTTTTATATATAAGATTGTTTAAACTACCTATTTTATTTTTACTGTTCAGAGCGGAAAATAAAATTTTGAACTAAAATTTTGACCCCTGAAAAAGAATTATTTCTACTGCTTAAATTACTTATTTATCGAACAAATATGATTCTACAAGGTTTTGATTTGAAATTTGTGACACCTTCAAACTTGGTTTCACATTAGATCAATGGATTCCGAATCAGCTTAAAAACAATATCTGCACTCGCATTATATTACGTATATATTTGTACTCACAGAGCTAGGTGAGCATCTCAGTTTGATTAATACAATTAACTATCCAACTAACTGATCATTAACTAGTTTACTTTCTAAAGGATCGTTAACTAATTAAAGATTGTTTAAAACCGCCCCATAGTTAACTTTCAGGATATAATTGCTGAGACGAGGCGACTGCAGCTAAGAACTCGAATTGAAATTATCAATTACCAATTAAGATGAAGACTAATTAGGTTCGTATTTGCTAATTTAAAATCATTGGAAGTTAGTTGGTCTAGTATCAGAGCGCGGGACTTCGTCCCAGAGGTCCTAGGTTCAAGTGGGCTACTGCAAATCACCAATATATAATATAAGAGAAAATGACACAACCTGAAGTAATATGAATAATAATACCAGGCTAGAGCGTATAGTTTACAAAATCAAATGACTCGTACAAATGAGCGAACTTCAATACAGCCAAGCGTTCGTTGCCTTACATTTTATTGTCATGATAAAATTAATGCACCGTAAAATCATATTGAATGGTTTGTAATTAGTTTGTTTGAGGTGTAAGCTGTATGGTCAAGTATGCTTTTGACACAAATTTCATCATCAAATAATTTAATTTCTGCAACTACCTACTTTTATTTTATCAAACATATTTTTACCTCCTGTATTAGGTAAATTTACTTCTGTAATATTTACGACGCAATCACTCTAATAAACTGGAAGAAGAAAAACATACTTGTAGAACTACGGTTTTGTTTTCATTAGATAAAACATACTCCATTAATTAATTGTTGTCTCATTCTAATGGATCAGCTGAAGACAATGTTATTGTTCTTTCTGTCCGGTGCACTGTAAAGGTTGTGTTTTGTTTACAATTTGTTTCTTATTTCAGTCATTCAAAACCTCGTTTAACCAAATAAAACGATCAACTCATAAACACTAACTCGCCCCCTTGTTATTTAACCTAACAGTAAAGCACAAACATGAAATTAACCCTAAAATAATAGAAACAAATTTCGTCAACACTAGCGATCAGTGTCACCGGACATGAACTGGACACGAAAATGAGCTTCAAAATTTACAATGGGATGAGAAGTCTACTTGTGTTGGTTATGGTTGAAACGCTGTATATCTATCTGGTTTTACATTACAGGTCTAGAAATTCTAAATACCTCAACACAAATTCTTTATGCACATAATGTTTCTTAAGGTTTTACCATACTGAAGTAATACTTTTGTGT